GCGGGACCGGTGAGATGACTGATCACCCCTCCACACCCCCCCAAACTGTACGAGCCATATAAACCCTGTATATGTTTCAATAACTTATTTGCCATGTCAGCGTAAAGGCCTAGTGGTGAGTGACCGAAAACAGCTTTTTACCAAAAACTACATTTAAATTATGTTTTTTTCAGCCATCAAATATTTTCACACACTTAGAACCTAGCGTCTTCTTAACGATAATTTTCACGGGAAAATATAATCTGTCTAATGGAGAACACCGTCAGTGATGTTAGGATTGTATAAGAACTCTGATTGGCCATAACTGGCAACTGCGTGCATGCTACGCACGTGTTGACTTACTATCTACATTCTTTCATCGCGAGACCTGCGTAATCTAAAACTCATTTTTTTTCCCTGCAGGCTGCTGATATGGTGACCGGCCTGGGCGAATGGCAGACCCCTATGTCGCGCATCCAGGTTGCACAGGCCGAATTGACCACCCTCAGGCAATCTAATGCCGAGCTTCGCGAGAAACTCACGCAGACTCAGTCCACCCTACAGGAAAGGGAGAATGAATTGCAGCGACTGCAGATATCGCAGGTAAACACACACAGCAGTTCCTCCGTCGATTCCGACGATGGGCAGCCGTGTGCTCCTTCAAGCCGAACAGACACTGAGGCAAGCTGCACAAAGGCAACAGCAAGCCCAAGAAACACAGCGAACTCCCACAAATGAGAACAAGAGTTAAAGCAGACTCACGGGGAATCTACCCACTCGCTCGCCGTTCTAACCTCCGTTTCCGGTGTAAAGACAAAGTCAGTAAGACCGGGGATGAGGAAGGGTGTAGGTGGCTGGCACGATAGTCACCGAACACGCGCACACTGGCATCAGCCAACTCGCTAGGTAGGCTCCCGCCTGCTCGGGAGCGCCATAAAAGCCACATTAAGAAGGAGTCATTGCAGCCTGACTCTCAGTCCTCCATCTCCCCACATAAGCACACACAAACACACGCGTAATAAATGAGCAGTGACGTAGGTGGCCTGAGTTTTCCCGTCAGTTGGCAAACCCTCCAAGCTACGGCTTTTAGCGCACCGTGATAGATTCAGGTGCATCGGATTTACTATAGTGAGGAGAGCAGCGCGGTGAGGTTCGACCTCACTCTTTCCTTCCACCGTCTAGCGACCACCTAGCTGTTCGGCCACCTGAGGTGAGGCCTGAAACGAGGTGGGAGCGCCAATACATGCACCGGTAGGGATTCAGAACCGAGAGAAAGTGCCAGCGCCTAAGAGGCCGCAGAGACCGTGGTTTTCCGAAATCTGGCATTGCATATGCAAACAGACATTGAGTCTCAGAACACGCACACACGACAATTCGATCGTCGGTTTTGACGAGCTACACCGCGTGCTTCAGCAAGCCGAAGGCAAACGCGGTGTCTTACGTATGGGTTACTTTTGGGTGACAGTAGGCTTGCGTTGCATCTACTGCACTGTCTCCCCTTCCCCATCAGTTGGAAACTCTCCAAGCCACGACTTTAGCGTACCGTGATAGGTTCAGGCTCATCAGATATTTTTCTAGTGAGGAAAATGCACTGGGTGGTCAATTCCACTCTCTCCCCCACCCCAAACATTAGCCCACGGTCTGAGCCGGCCAGTTGTCTGAGATGCGGGTTAGACACACGCACGCTCCGACTCAGGTCGTTGCGTTTGCAATTGTAGGGCTGCAAAAAGCTCAATCTGTCAAATCGGTTGAGCTAAAACTAGTCTGAGTCATGTGCAAACGCAGACTATGCTACCATTACCTAGGATTAAGGATTCCCGACGGAATTCGAAACGTTAGGAAAATAAAACTCTTATTCCAGTGGTCGCAACTTCTTCTTCTTCTGGGATGAAACTATTGACAGTTTAGGAATAAAGTAAGCAACAATGCGCCTCTGATTTCGCACAAAACCAGAAAATGTCGATCATTCTCCTTGTTAGACAGCAAGCCTGCAAAAACATGTGGAAATCACGTTTTGTTTGATGTGCGTGTGATTTGGAATTAACGCCAAACAAAATCAAATGCAAAACTTCCGCTTGAAAGTAAATTTTCAGTTCTGTTTGCTGTCAACAGTTCTGCTTTTAAAGGTGCAGTGAACACCAAACTGGCATGATTTCGTTTATGGATGCAGAAAGTTCGATCCGGGCCTTTGAGATTGAGCCGCCCTTTTTAAATTTCTTATTTATACGTCGATTGGTCTATTGCATCTGATTTAAACCGATGTTAATCCTCTTCTTTTATTCAAACTACAACAATGAGGTCATTAGCGCATGCCTCTAGTGCCGTTTTGAAAGAAGTCCAATTTTGCCTAAATGTTGTGGCTCATTCAAGGACGATTTGTTGTGATGTTGGCAATTGCAGTGTTCGGCTACTATGCCTTGTTTGTGATCTCCCGATCTTAAGTGGTTTGTGTGTCTAATTTCATCCACGACGAAAGGAGGATGTTTTTATTTTTTTCTAAACAGCCTTCACTAGAAATCACTAGCCATTTGGCTATCCATCTTATTTGAAGAAGTCAGATAGTAATTGGCCATAATTAGGGGAATTTTCTCCTGGGAAGAGTCGATACCATTAAAAAATCAATATCCGACGTTGACTTGTTCAATAATCACCTTTCAGGTGAACACGAGTCAAAAGTTTCTTCTTGAGCAAGTCCAACTCGTGCGTCAGTTCAGTGAGGATTGTTTCATGGAAAAATCTATCCTTCAAGTGCTCCTGGAATTGGGGATAAGTTTTTCTATCAAGAACTCAAACGAAACCATTCACAGTTTCTTGGAGGCAAATGATGTTTTGGCTCCTTATAGTATGTCGCAGTATCGCGGTGTTTTTGAGATATTGATTGATTTGTTGGATCGATGCGCAGGGCTGCTGTTCGAACCGGGAGGGCGTATTTGTGGTGGACGGCCACAATGCTTGTCCACC